TTATGAATCTTCGAGCAATCTCCCTATTTTTTTTTTTTTACATGAACCATCACATGGGTGGATAAAAACGCTTGAATCATGATATGAAATAAGTCGATAAAGCAAAAATCTCCTTTATAAAATTAGAAACCCAACGTTCAATGCGCAGCTGAAAGCTAGAGGTAGTAACATTCATTGGGTTTAAATTGGACATTCGGAAGGCTTATGACACCAATAAATGGAACTTTTTATCGTAAGTTCTTGCTCTTTTTTTTTTTTGAGCAAAAATGGTTGGATTATCATCCTTCATTGCCACGGCGAACCTGTCGATTTTTGTCAATGGTGGTCCAATGCAATACTTTGAAGGAGTCACACGACCTAACCTCTAGTGAATGAAAGAAATAAAGATATTCTTAACCAGTCATGGCTCTTGCCAATAGGTTGATGCATAGGCCTACAATAGGTTAATTGTCAAAGCTTTACGGATTGTTAAAATTTTTGCTTATGAAAAATTGTAACAATTGTGACCAATGCTTTGGACTGACCAATTTTTGGCAGCTTTTCATCAAGGAAAGATAAAATTTACCTTTATTTTATTTCCATTAAGCATTTTTGGCACGTTTTGAATCAATATCTCAACATGTGTTTTGCTTGGGTTGATCCGCAATGATTGCTACGCAAGGCAAATAAAAAAGCACAAAGGAGTTAAAGTACGAAGAATGGTGAAGTGTCTTTAGATTGCTTTAGGGATCTATCTGTTGTCTGTTTTAACCGGTTTTATTTTGGTTCGATGATTTTGGGATGAGGTGATGATCCCTGGAATAAGTGCAATATGTTGTGATTTAACGAACCGTGGATGAGAATGTTTTAGATAAGTGAGTATTGAGACGCCTTTTTTAGTTTAAGGAGTAAGAATAATCATCCCAAAGTTTAATGAGCGTTTATTGACTGGACCTAAAAGACTATATATTAAAAAAAAAAAAAATTGAAAAGCATTCTGCAGTCGATCAAAACTATCTAGTTTGATTATATTATTGTCTTCTAATAAAACATATAGCGTCAACTACTTGAGTCTCGAGAGGCTCTCAGATAGAATCGAGTTAATTCCTATCTTTTTTATCTCATTTTGAAATTTACTTTTTCACTTTTAAGAAATAAGCATGAAAGCATAAATAGGGGTAAATGATTAGTTTTGGTGAGCCACGCGAAATGTGGAATAAAAATTTATTTGATAAAAAGTATTCTTTAATATAAAATCACCTAGAAACAGCCTATTATAGTCTTCTTTTTTGTTGGGTAGCCTTGCGCGCATTGCTGCTACTCTTGTACATTAAGGGAGTGTATTCAATTGAAACTTTTAATAACTTTTTGGGATTTAAAAAGTTTAGGGATATTCAGTGTAGACTTTTATAGACTCTTTAAAAGTGTTGATATATTTAATTGAGACTTTTATAAACTTTTAAAAAGTTTCTAAAAGCCACGATATATTCAATTAAAACTTTTTAGAAGTTTCCATAAATTTTGGGGTATTCGAATTTTTATGACATTTAGAGACTTCTATAAAAGTCTCTATGATACTAACTTTTAGAGTAATGTTATTCATCCCCACTAAGGTTGAGTCACAATCTATGTGTCAATTACATGACATTAAATGATAGATTCATTTAAATACAAATTCACATGACTCATTTAATTGAGTCTATCATTTAATGCCATGTAATTGTCATATAGATTGAGGCTCAACCCCAGTGGAGATGAATAGCATTATTCTAACTTTTAAGCAAAAAGTACTAAAATAAAATCTCAAAATTTGTCTCACATTAATCACAAGATTTTGGGAGACTTTCACATAAAACAAAAAATAAATTAATATGTATTTTTTTCAATATTTATTTTTCCTTTTCCTTTATAAGAACATTAAAATTATGATTAAATTTTATTTTTTTCTATTTTTCTTTTTCTCTCTCATATTATTTATTTATATTTTCTATGAAAGAATTAAATTGTATTCTTGTAACATTTTTTTCCTTCTTTTTTTGAAAAATATTTATTTTTAATTAAATTACAAATTTTTATATAAACTATTTATAATTAAATTTAAATATAAATTGTTTATTTATTTTTTAAAGGTGTATTATATTAATAATACTGAATATTAATTTTTTTTATATGTATAATTATT